ACGCCCACGCACCCACACACACACACGCCCACGCACCCACACACACACACACACGCCCACGCACCCACACACACACGCCCACGCACCCACACACACACGCATACGCATACGCACATACACAAGTGTGTGTCTGTGTGTGTGTGGGGGTGGGCGTGGGCGTGGGGGTGGGGGTGGGGGTGGGTGTGTGTGTGTGTGTGTGTGTGTGTGTGTGTGTGTGTGTGTGTGTGTGTGTGTGTGTGTGTGTGTGTGTGTGTGTGTGTGGGTGTGTGTGTGTGTGTGTGTGTGTGTGTGTGTGTGTGTGTGTGTGTGTGTGTGTGTGTGTGTGTGTGTGTGTGTGTGTGTGTGTGTGTGTGTGTGTGTGTGTGTGTGCGTGTGTTTGTGTGTGTGTGAGGGTGCGTGCGTGCGTGTGTATGTGCGTGTGTATGTGCGTGTGTATATGTGTGTGTGCGTGTGTATGTGCGTGTGTATATGTGTGTGCGCGCGCGCGCGCGCGTGTGTGTATGTGCGTTTGTGTATGTGTGTGCGCGCGTGTTTGAGTGTTCGCGTGTGCTAGAATGCGCGTGTGTGAGTGCGCGCGTGGTCGCTGACGTGAAATGATTAGATTTTGGACAAAATGGGAACATCTGGGGGGTACTTTATGGGAGGCCGTTTTTATATTTTATGGAATATGTCTGTTATTTAGAAGACGTAACCAAAGGAGAGTCTTCAGAAAAGCATTGGAACACATTGTTCAAATAAAAGGTACTTCTAATTTTTTGTTTCATGTCAAATTTTCCTGAAATGGTCCGTATTCGAGAAATTTGACAAAATGTGCAAAATTCAGATTTTTGAGAAAATTGTTGAACTAAAAGTTGTTTGCGATATCAATCTCTATAATTTTTGTCTATACCTAATTTTTCTAAAATGGACCGTAATGGAAAAATTGGAGGAAGAGTCCTAAATTTAAATTTTTCAGTATTTTCGTTTTCAATGAATATCTATTGAAAAATATTTCGAGGTAGATGTATGTGGAAAATGTATATAGAGGTGCTGCAATAGGTTGTACAAAATAACCGGAAAAAGCCTATAATAACTAGATAGGAAAGTCATGTGTTGGACAAATCAGATTTTTTCTCTCTCTAATGTAACAATTAAAATATATATAATTGCAATACTTGTGTTTATTTGACAGGTAACTGGTAAGGTCCAAGCAGCCAGGAACCTGATAATGAAAGGATGCGAAGTGAATCCTCAGAGCGAAGATTTATGGTTGGAAGCCGCCAGATTGAATCCAGCAGATACAGCCAAAGCTATAATAGCTCAAGCAGCCAGGCATATACCAACTTCAGTTCGAATATGGATCAAAGCCGCGGATTTAGAAGACGAAACCAAAGCTCAAAGGAGAGTCTTCCGAAAAGCATTGGAACACATTCCCAACTCTGTACGACTCTGGAAAGCCGCTGTGGAGCTGGAGAATCCAGAAGATGCTAGGATATTGCTTTCGAGAGCAGTCGAATGCTGTCCAACCGCCTTGGAGCTGTGGTTAGCTTTGGCGAGGTTGGAAACATACGAAAACGCAAGAAAAGTATTGAATAAAGCTAGAGAAAATATTCCTACGGACAAACAAATTTGGACAACGGCTGCTAAATTGGAAGAAGCAAATGGTAATCACCACATGGTGGAAAAAATCATAGAAAGAGCCATTACTTCGCTGAGTTCGAACGGGGTTGAGATAAACAGAGAACAATGGTTCAAAGAAGCCGTAGAAAGCGAGAAAGGAGGTCACATTCACTGTTGTCGGGCGATAGTTAAGGCTATCATCGGTTACGGAGTGGAACCCGAAGATCAGAAACACACCTGGATGGAGGACGCAGACGCTTGCATCAATCAAGGAGCTTTCGAGTGCGCCAGAGCGGTGTACCACATAGCCTTGGCTGCATTCCCAGGAAAGAAATCGATATGGTTGCGGGCGGCTTATTTGGAAAAGAGTCACGGAACCAGGGAGAGTTTGGAGAACTTGTTACAGAGAGCGGTTGCGCATTGTCCTAAGAGTGAAGTTCTATGGTTGATGGGAGCCAAGAGCAAATGGTTAGCAGGTATGTTTCTAGATCATGTATATTAAGATGGATCTCATATTTATTATTTTTAGGTGACGTTCCAGCTGCCAGAGGCATTCTATCTTTAGCTTTCCAAGCCAATCCGAATAGCGAGGAAATCTGGCTTGCTGCCGTCAAATTAGAATCTGAAAACAGGGAATACGAAAGAGCTAGAAGACTTTTAGCGAAAGCCAGGGGCTCGGCACCCACTCCCAGGGTTATGATGAAGAGTGCAAAACTAGAATGGTCCTTAAACGATTTAGACGGCGCGCTACAACTTTTAGATGAAGCTCTGAAAGTGTTTCCAGATTATGCGAAATTGTGGATGATGGTGGGACAGATTCAGGAGCAGAAAAGAGAATTTTCAAAAGCTTTTGATGCTTACAATGCTGGTATCAAGAAATGCACTGGATCCATTAATTTGTGGCTATTATTGTCAAGATTAGAGGAAAAACGTGGGTTGCTCATTAAAGCTAGATCTGTTTTAGAAAAGGCTAGGTTAAAGAATCCCAAAAACGATCAGTTGTGGTTAGAAGCTATTAAAATTGAGATACGTGCAGGTTTTAAAGATATCGCCAATGCCATGATGGCTAAGGCCATACAAGAGTGTCCTACATCGGGAATTTTATGGGCAGAAAGCATTTTTATGGAACCGAGGCCGCAAAGGAAGACAAAATCGGTTGACGCTTTGAAAAAGTGCGAGCACGATCCGCACGTGCTGCTCGCGGTCAGCAAACTGTTCTGGTCCGAACGAAAAATATCCAAGTGTCGGGAATGGTTCCAAAGAACTTTGAAAATCGAGCCGGATCTGGGTGATTCTTGGGCTTATTGGTACAGATTCGAACAACTCCACGGGACGAAGGAGCAACAAGAGGAGGCCAAACAGAGGTGTTTGTTAGCGGAACCCCATCACGGTGAATTGTGGTGTGCCGTTTCGAAAGACATAAAAAACGTCGGATTGAGTACTGAACAGATTTTGAAAATTGTCGCTAAAGAAATACCAATTCCTGTTTAGTTTATAGCGTTAATATATTTAGTAACATAAGTTGACCCAAGCAAAGGTATGGAATCTGCATTGCTATTTGTTTTTTGACAAATAAAATGGTATTTGACGTGTTTGTGATGTTTGAAATATGTCAAACGTGTTGGTAATGCAGGGTCCCATACTTTTAATTTTTTGTAGTAAAACGAAATGAAATCTGTAGAGACTTGTTCTATAAACGTTAATAGAGTTTGTTTATACATAATAAATAAAAAGTATATTTATTTTAATTTCTATTTACTATACCTTTTTTATATGGAAAACTTTGTTTATTGTGGGTATAGTTTTTAAAAATTGTCTGGGATTGTCTTACAGTGACTCGGAAGTTATCTAACAAATAGGACTCCACAGGTTCGAGTAAATCATCATTATTCCCAAATTTTCCCAGTAACTTCGGATGTCCCTCAAGGGTCTCACTTAGGACCGCTACTATTCAATCTGTTTATTAATGACATCACAACTTGCTTTCCTAACACTAAAGCCCTATTGATTGCAGATGACTTGAAATGCTTCAAGATCATTCATGGTTATGTCGACACTCAGATTTTGCAGTCGGATTTAAATAAACTAGAAAGTTGGTACTCTAGTAATGGCATGGATCTAAATACTAACAAATGTCACATTATCCGATTTTGTCGCAGCCATAATTTAATAACTTCTAATTATAGTTTATTTCAACATTTTTTGAACCCTGTCGATCAAATCAAGGATCCATGAGCTTTAATGGCCATATCATTGCTACAGTTCAAAAATCAATGAAAATGCTGTGCTTTGTCAAGAGGACAACTCATGACTTCACTAATATAAACACAATTAAAATGCTATACTTCTCTTTAGTTAGGACACAACTTGATTATTGATCCTCAGTCTGGTTTCCACACTACTTAATTCATAAAAGAAAACTGTATAAGGTTCAAAATAATTTTCTTAGATACATAGCATTTAAGTTTAACATTTACTACAATTATGCGGAATTGTAACAATATTTAAGCATACCTTCTCTGGAAGTTCGTAGGAAACGAGAAGATCTTACCATACTGTCCAATATTATCAATGGCAGGTGTAATTGCCCCGGCCTCCTTTCCAGAATTAATCTTTTTGTGCCGTCACGTACTACTAGACAAATTCAAACATTCCATGTACCTTTTCACCGTTACAATTATGCGTTTAATACTTTTATTCCTACATTGCGTTCGGTCTGCCAAGTTCCTTTAACTCCTTTAACACTTTTAACTCCAAACGACCCTTTTACCGTTAGGTTTAGTCCGATTAGTGACAGTTTAACACGCTTAAATGTCATTTAAAAGCACCCTAAAATTTGTCCCGCTCCAGCCCCTGACTGACCGAACTCGCCTCTAGAACACTTAGACTTTTTGACAGTTCTGTTCAAGGATTCAAGAACCGCTTACTCACACTGAATATTTGAACGTCTCATGCAAATTCCACACTCTTCATTTATAAGCATTATAATTTAATTGCTGTTCTGAAAATTAATGTCCACTGTTTTATCTAACCATTTTATTCTATATTTTACTTAATTTTTATAAGAAGAATCGCTTATCATATTTTAATATAAAACAAAACTGCTAACGTTATATTAACTATTATCATGTAAAACATAACATATTTTGTTCATTCCTGTTTTGATTGTAACAGTAAAGAACTAATAATAAAGTCCCGTATTTCCAAAATAGTAAATTATTTTTATTCACAAAAATATTTTAGAGTTAAATGAATTTAATACAGTAGTTTCGCGGAAAACCAAGAAATTTACGTTTCAACTCTTTGGTATCGAGAACTTTTCCTTTGGTAATCTACCCACTGAGGCCTGCAGAACTGGAACCACTGAGGCACTTCCTATGGAGCCTCGAGTATTGCATTCGTGCAGACGAAAACATTTTCTTACCCTCACTTTTTAGGACACGATAACTCTAGAAAGAGACCCGATAGACTTACGGTTTTGATTTTCTTGAATAATTGCTTCTATTGATTTTTATAATTTTCGGTTCAACCTAACTACTTTGAAATTAAATGATAAATTTTCTGCCCTCTTTAGACGTTTCATTAACGTTTTGGACTGACCGAAAACTGAACGTTTTGTCGAAACACAACCAAAATAGAACCCTTCTGAAAAGGATAGATCTTCATAGAATGATGGCGTTAGGCCCTAGGGTCATCCTGCTGGGTGATCTGAACAGTAAACACCCCGAATGGGACGCTAACTGCCAACGTCAAAATGCAAGTGGTACTTTCTGAAAGAATTTGCTGAAAACAACGATCTTAACATACGTTACACTGACGAACCTACCCACTTCCCATTTAACGGTATCCCAGCATCTTAGACCTAGCCGTTACAAAAACCATTCCTGACGTGTACAACATGAGAACCATCTCTACCTTAAGCTCTTATCATGACCCAGTTTATTTGGAAATAAGAGTGGCAAATAAATCGCAAAGAACCCAAGGAAGCTTTTTCGGTTACTCCAAAACAGACTGGATTATGTTCTATACATACAAAAAACACAATAAGGAAGAGATGGCAGACACAGACAACCCGCTGACAGGATCATGCTCCTAGATATCGCCAGACACAATAATACGCAAATCCAAGAACTAAAAAATAAAAACTGGCAGAGGGTCCTGGAAGCGGTTAATCCCAACAACTCAGTGTGGAGAATTGCCAATCACTCCAAAAAACCGTATTCGCAACTCCCCACACTGGTGAGAGGACAAGAAACATACGCGACAAATTACGAAAAAGGCGCTGTTTTCAGTGAATACTTTCAGAACGTATTCAAAAACTCACAAATCAATAATGAGCATTAGCAAAGAATTAAAAACATCGTAACTGAATTTTAAAATAGGCCACCCCAAAATGTATCAACTAATGACCTCACTACCCTCAAAGAAATCAGGAAAATACTGTTCAGGTTAAAAGGCAGAAAGGCCCCGGCCCCGGACGAAATCAACAATATTCTTCACCTCACGAGTGAATTTTAACCCCAAAAGCTGAGCTTGTCCGGGGAAAGGGACATCTATTATTATTATTTGCCGTGGTGCTCCGGGGCGACTTAAGGATGATTGATGTTACCATTTGACTTACAAGTGAGGAAAATCAACAGAAATTAAATTTCTGCCAATACGGCATCCATCAAATCCGATAGAGACCATGCAAATAAATTCACATAGTCTTCCGTAGGATTCGAAACCGTGTCTCGTTTTACCAGAAAATTGGCTTGCAAATGAACAACTACAAAACGTAGACAAGGACAAAAATATCATCCCGAAGGAACAGTACGGCTTCAGAGAGGGGCACAGTACTGTTCTTAATATAGCCCATCAAGCCAAAAAGGCATTTAATAACAAAAAACAAACAGTACTTGTAGCCCTGGATACCGAAAAGGCGTTTGACACTGTCTGGACATCCGGGTTGATCCACAAAATGATTGTGAATAACGATCCCGTTCACATTATAAAAACAATTTACTTCTACTTACAAGACAGAACGTTTCGTATCAAAATTAATAACACTAGAGTCGGACCATACAAAGCAGAGGCCGGAGTACCTCAAGGATTGGTACTTTCGTCGCATCTGTACACCATTATGACACGCCCATGGGTCTTAATGGTGTGAGAGTAATGCATTCAACCAAACCAAATCTACAACAAACAAACATATTAAAACCCTGTTTTTTTCAAGAGCTTTTTCAGGGAAAATCGACATAATTAAATTCCAACATAACATATACATATACCACTCACCGCTCTTAGCATTGGAAATCAAAATAGTATTATAATACCAACCTGGTAAGAAGTTGATTCGCAATACTCAGGAAGACAAATGACTACATCAAAATATTGGTGGAACACCAGCCCAGGCCTTCCCATGGTACACTAGGAAGACGTGAAGAAGAACTCTTCATATTTGTATTATTATTGATGTAGACGTACAATGTATTATTTAAACAACTAATAAATATTTAAAATGAAATGAATAGAATCAAAACTGAACATACAAATTTTAAGATAAAATTTAAACCCGTGTGCCGGAGACCATTTTTTGGCCGATCCCAGCATAGTGACGACTGGCAATGGCTCGCTTTATAAGAATTCACACTTGATTCTCAGTGTCTCGCACTAAAAAATATTTATATCTAAATAATGAATGCTAATAGCGTTTTTCACTGGGACTGGCAGCATGCACTGAGTATATTTGTCCTTGTTTATCGATATAGAAAAGAAGAGTCTACTAATAGAATGTGGTTCATAATTTAATACATCGACGCCTGACAAGGTTGACGAACGCCATTTTTCATCTCGTTTTTAGCTTCGCAGGATGCCGGTGTTTGATTTTGTTGAATGGTCAGTCACCATAAAAATTAATAAATTTAGTTCCTTAATATTGGATAAGTTTCTAATGTTCAAACTAAATAGTATAAATACTTTCAGATGGAAAGTGTCTGCAATGTTAATAGGTTTAAATTTGAAACGGTCTATGATAATCAATCATGGCTGCAATTATAAAGAATAAAATTGTATGATAAAGTCCCTTTAAATTAGAGTGTACCTAAATTTGTCGATTTTAGTTTCTAGCTGTGACAGTCATCTCTTAGTATTTCTGCTTTTTGCTCTTATCTGGGTCATCTAGAACAGGAATTGTATGATTATCAATCATACTTTTTTTCGACCTCGAGTTTTCGACGGATTTTTACGTTTTGAGGTCCCCTGAATCCGTTTTGACTATTTTCGCGATGATGTCTGTGTGTGTCTGTATAACGCATAACTCATGAACCGATACACAGAAAAACACCAAATTTTAAACTTAAGCTTTGTTTCAGCGTCCAATGAGCTGATTCGATTTTGGGCAGAGTCGGAACATCTGGGGGGGTACTTTATAGGTGGTCATTTTTATATTTTATGGAATATATCTGTTATTTACGTTTGGAGAAGAAAATTCTTCAAATAAAAGTTACTTCTAATATAATTATCTATAATTTTTGTTTTATGCAAAATTTTCTTAAAATGGTCCGTATTCGAGAAATTTGACAAAATGTAAAAAAATAATTTTTTTTTAAAAATTGTTCAAATAAAAGTTGTTTGTAATATAATTCTCTATAATTTTTGTCCTATACATAATTTCTCTAAAATGGACCGTATTCGAGATATTTGAGAAAATGTGTAAATTTCGAAATTTGAAGAAAACTCAAAAACGGATAAAGGAAAAAACATTAAATTTTAAACTTAAGGTTTATTTCGGCCTGACGTGAAATGATTAGATTTTGGACAAAGTCGGAACATCTGGGGGGGTACTTTATGGGAGGCCGTTTTTATATTTTATGGAATATATCTGTTATTTATGTTTGGAGAAGAAAATTGTTCAAATAAAAGTTACTTCTAATATTTTTATCTATAATTTTTGCTTTATGTCAAAATTTTCTGAAATGGTCCGTATTCGAGAAATTTGACAAAATGTGCAAAATTCTGATTTTTATGAAAATTGTTGAACTAAAAGTTGTTTGCGTTATCGATTTCTATAATTTTTGTTTATACATGATTTTTCTAAAATGGACCGTAATGGAAAAGTGCTAAATTTAAATTTTTCTGTATTTTCGTTTTCAATGAATATCTATAAAAAAATGTTTCGAGGTAGATGTATGTGTAAAATGTATATATTTAGTTTATCCTCTAAACATTTATAGAGATGCTGCAATAGGTTGTACAAAATAACCGGAAAATGCCTATAATAACTAGATAGGAAAGTCATGTGTTGGACACATCAGATTTTTTTATTAGGTAATTTGACACGTTTACTCATAATATGATGAAATAAATTAAAACTCAATATCATAAATCTTTTAATTATCGCTATTAAAAATAAATAACTCTTAAACAAAAAAAATATATTTATATATTTAAATATTAAATATAATACTTTTCTAATACAAAGAATGTATCAATAAATATTAAATTTTAAAGCTAAAAAGAAACTAAAAACAAAAAAGGTTAAAAAAATCATTCACCGTTTTAAAACACTCGTGTATATAAAAATTTCTTTCACACAAAGCTGCTAGAAGCTTGCTCTAAAAACATAGTCTGTTTTTTATCCGCAACGGGCACGTCTTTTTTGTAAAAACCGTTCAAGTGCCCCCAATTGGGGGGCTTGATGGGTATGACTTTCGGTTTGGGAGGCAGAGGCGGCGGTTCCGTGTGGTTCCTCCTATCTACCGGGTTCGTTTGGGACATTTGAACTACTTCGATTGTTTTCGGCGGCGAATTAGTTCGATCGGAACTGTATTTGTTGGGGACTAGGACCGTCCGGTTTTCGTAGTTCGATTGCAATTCGAGCTTCATGTTTTTGGCGGACGATATGACAGGAAGTTTGTCGGTATTGGCAGGTACTGAGGTTTCGCCGAGGTAAAATTTCGCTGAGCTCTTTTCCGTTTCGTTGGATCTTCTCGGCTGCTTTTGTTGGTAGTCGTTTTCCTTGTTTTTCAAGAAATCCGGCATTTCGAAGTTGATTTCGGTGCCCCGTTGGTCGTCGAGCCTCCGTTGGGCTCGCGTCAAACCTTCGACCAATTCTATAAAAAAAAAATAACCATCAGCGATCTTATATAACATTTAAAATCTGTTTTCACAGCAAGATGTATAGATATCAGAAAAGGCAAAACTTAAAAAATAATTTCAATTATACTGGGTTCTTCAGGAAAGTAATACATATTCAAATTAGCTCTTTTTAAATGGGATTTTATTTTATATTCCAAATGCGGTGGCTTTCCCCATTATTGCAATAGTAAGGCAAAACTTAAAAAATAATTTGAATTATACTGGGTTCTTCAGGAAAGTAATAAATATTCAAATTAGCTCTTTTTAAATGGGTCACCCTGTATTTTATTTTATATTCGAAATACGGTGGCTTTCGCAATTATTGCAATAGTAAATAGTATGGAATTTTTCAAAAAAACTCAAATACAAGGAAGATACGGAATTGAAAAATCTAAATACGGACTTGGACTTGCCTGTTTGTTTTATTTGTCTTTTTTCGGTTTTTCTTAGTTTCTTATTTTTGAGTTTCTTTTTTGAAAGAGTTATTTGAAATAATTGGTTATTTAAATGGTTTCTATAAACAGTTATTCACCTTGTATACATCATACTGTTCTTTTTTTTTAAATTTTTATTTTGTTTCTTCATAAATAATTTAACGATTTATAAATTTTTATGGTTTTAGTTAAAAAAAAAAAAACAAGAACTTCGCCCTTTTATGTACACTGTATATAAATAAAGATGTTTATTCTTATTATAATGTGGTAGACACAAATCTCTTTGGATCACGATCCAACTTGATATTGCCTTTATTTTATCACCATTTCCAAACCAATTGATGAAATTTGAAAAAATGTTTATCAAATGTGTAGAAATATAATTTTGAAAAGTACTCTCTAAAATTTCAACAGGTTTTGAAGTTACAAGGGATCAAAGTATAGACTTAAAAATTAAAAAAAAAAAAAAAAAAAATGTTTATAAAATGTGTAGAAATATAATTTTGAAAGCTACATTTTAAAATTTTAACAGGTTTTAAAGTTACAAGAGATCAAAGTTGAACTTGGATTTTTTACCAACTTGATATTGCCTCTATTTCATCACCATTTCCAAACCAATTGATGTATAGACTTCAAAATTTGACAAAATATTTATAAAATGTGTAGAAATATAATTTTGAAAACTACATTTTAAAATTTCAACAGGTTTTAAAGTTACAAGGTATCAAATTTGAATAACATTATTGAACAAAATAGATATGGTGGAAATTTTTATAATATGAATGGTAGAGATAATTATAATAATATTAGCAAACATTGTCAATATACAGTGTCACTAAATTTTGAGTTCAAGAATAGTTTTTGTTTCGAAAATAATAAAATTTTATGATTTTTTGTCGCTCTGCTACACCTATGAAATTTGACGTTATTTTTCAAAAATTTCAAAAATAAAAGTTTCTTTACAAAATATTTCAAATAATATAAAAGTTGTTTCATTTCTGGTTTTCTACCAAATTTGAATGAATTTTAACAACTTGATATTGCCTTATTTCATCACCATTTCCAAACTAATTGATGTATAGACTTAAAAATTAAAAAAAAAAAAAAAAAAATGTTTATAAAATGTGTAGAAATATAATTTTGAAAACTACATTTTAAAATTTTAACAGTTTTAAAGTTACAAGAGATCAAAGTTGAACTTGGATTTTTTACCAACTTGATATTGCCTCTATTTCATCACCATTTATAAACCAATTGATGTATAGACTTCAAAATTTGACAAAATATTTATAAAATGTGTAGAAATATAATTTTGAAAACTACATTTTAAAATTTCAACAGGTTTTAAAGTTACAAGGTATCAAAGTTGAATAACATTATTGAACAAAATTTATATGGTGGAAATTTTTATAATATGAATGGTAGAGATAATTTTATTATAATAATAACTATTAGCAAACATTGTCAATATACAGTGTCACTAAATTTTGAGTTCATGAATAGTTTTTGTTTCGAAAATAATAAAATTTTATGATTTTTTTGTCGCTCAGTTACACCTATGAAATTTGACGTTATTTTTCAAAAATTTCAAAAATAAAAGTTTCTTTACAAAATATTTCAAATAATATAAAAGTTGTTTCATTTCTGGTTTTCTACCAAATTTGAATTAATTTTAACAACTTTGATTCTTTGCGCATTTTCTTAATATACTTTTTTTTTTGGCTCATTCGATGTTTTTTTTGTTCATTTTTGTTTTTTGTTTAAAAATCTTTCTAATTGGCTGTTTATTCATAAAGTTAAAATAATAAAAAAATGTTAACAATTTTTTGACTTATTGTAAATAAGTTAGGTTATTTTTCAATATTTCAAAAATAAAGTTTTTTTAAATCTTTCAAAAATAAAGAAGTTGTTTCTTTTTGGTTTTCTACCCACCTACAAGATTTGAACGAATTTTGATTCTTTGCGCGTTTTCATAATTTTTGAACTCATTCGACTTTTTTTTGGTTAAAAATGTTTCTTATTGGCTACAAAATTTGAACGAATTTTGATTCTTTGCGCGTTTTTTTGGTTAAAAATGTTTCTTGTTTGCTATTTGTAAAATAAAAAGAATCATATATAAAAATTAAGTTTCTCGAATTGAGAAAGTAAAATAATTGTAGAAGATTATAGTTTATTTTGTGGGATAAAATCGCTTACCATCGCTCTCGCTACAGGAAACGTTGAACTTATTCGCGCCGCACGTCATTTTGGCAATCAGAGGCTTCTTCGTATTGTCTCGCATCACCTCTTCAACGACGCCTTTATATCTAGCCGAGATTTTCTTTTTTCTTTCGTATATTCCCGAATCACGTTTCAAGAACTTTCCGATGATCGTCGACGAGTGTTCCGAACCCCAATCTTCGCTCTAAAAATAATAAAAAAAGTTTATCATAAGATGAAATTAGTTTATATTGAAAAACTGAAGAATTAACATTAAATAATAAAAAAAATATTTACTTTTACAGATCCCTTATCCGACTGTGTAGATTTATGTACACCAGTATCAGATTTTTCTTGTAAAATACCTTCGAAAACTTTATTGGTTATTTCTTCTAATTTCGTTTTATTATTGATATTCCTAGTCGTTGAATTTAAGTTTTCTGGCTTGATATCTAAAAAATAATTAATTTGAGCCCATTTTCTAACGTTCAATAACATTCAATAACTTACCATCCTTAAACTGCACTTTCAATCTCATCCCATCGATCGATGTAACAGGTTGGTGCAAATCTATCGGCGTATTCCCGTTGAGTACCACCATTTGTTCTAAATTGTAATGGTACTTGTGCAAACTCGGCTTTAGGACGTCTATTATGATTTTCGTGTATTTCGATCTGATACTGATCATTTTCCTGTTGGGCAGATCGAGTTTGAACACCACCCTTTGTTCTACGTTCACTTCGCAACCCGCCAGAGTCAATGATGAGTCTTCTGGGTTCAAACACTGCAAAAACAATTGAATATTCAATACAAATAAACACATTAGATAAGGTAATTCTCTTCGACATAATTTTGTAGAATATATTACAGAAATCTACGGCTTCCCTTTTTTTAAAATGTTAGATATTCTGTTATATTTTTTATTATTTAAATTTGAAAAGTAATAGCTATAACGTATAAAAATAATAAATTTAGCGCCATCTATGGCGCATGTGGAGAGGATGTTTCACTCTCTCTTAGTTTCGTTTGAGCATTGTTTTATTTTGTAAAAGGTTCAATGTCGTGACAAAAATTAAAATTATTATATTTACTTCTTTAAGAAAACTGATTAACGCTGGATAAGTTTCTAACGTTTATTCTAAATAGTATAAATACTTTTAGAAGGAAAATCTCTGCAATAGTTTTATGTTTAAATAGTTTTTTCAGCCCAGGTTTGGTATCTAGTAAATTTAAGTTCAATACGCATAAATATTCTCCATATAGATTAGTGAATAAATAAATAATATATAAATTAGTATAATATTGTTTATAAAATAAACGTTACACTACTATAAACAAATGCGTTTTCTGTTTTACCTTCAAATGCTTGTCCGTTAAGACTTCGAACGAGGAATAAGTGAGACCGCGTTTCTCCAATAACCTAGTAACTAGCTCTTGTATGGTTTCCGTTTGTTTGATTTGTACTACAGTGGTGCTACCGTTGCTCAAAAGTACCCGACACAGTGCCGTTCGGGCAACATTGTTAGATAAATCTTCTTGGTTCAGCTGGCTCTGTTTAAGCAAATCCTGAAAAACGAGAATAAAGTGATGTCACCCACAATTTTCACTTGACTACATAGTAAATGAGATAATTATTGTTAGGTTACAAATTGAATGTGTGTGTGTGCAATACCCCAACAGACTCTTTTCTCTTTTTTTAGTAAACAGGATCAAAATCAACTTTACTCCTCAGCAAACAAAATAAGAATGCCCAAGAAATGTCCTTAACACGCTTAATTACTTGGTCTGTAAAAAATGATTTTGAATCTCTAAGAAAAAGAAGAAGACTAACCTGTGGCGCAACGGCAAGATCCAAGGAAGTCAGCGACGACCCGCTGGAATGAATGGTGTCCGGCTCAGCGTTCTTCAAATACTCTAATCCCTCGTGGCTCCTTTTGGTGTATTCGCTCTCGCCTCGATCTTTCGATTTCGACCTATTCTTCCTGTGCCAAGGCAACAGCGATTTTCTCCGCCTGTCTTCAGCGTTGCTGACGGATTTTTTCAACTTCGTCGGCGACGATATCGGTTGCAATAACAACCGGACATCTATCGCCACCTTCTCTCCATCACCAGCCAGGCATTTTCTGTAGATATCCGATCGTAAAAACCTGGGATAACTGTCGAACTTCATGAGATTGTATATCTGCTTCTGCGAATGGGCGAACAGATCCGCGGGGGCTCGTTGTAGGTTTTTTTCGACGCCTTGACGAGCCGGGGCGTCTACGTTGACGGCCTCGGTGGCGCCGGGGCTGAGATGTTGCCTGTAGATGCGCTGCGCGTCGTTTTTTCTGTCATGGTCGGCGGTTAGGGTTTTGAAGCGTTCGCAGGCTATCCAGAAGTAGATGTTTTCGGCGCTGAATTCTTTCTTCAAAAATTCCTGAAATAAAATAGCTTACAATTAGCGCAGGATCATTAAATATATCATCATACAATCGTGACACGTTCATATATACTTCATACAATATAAAAACAAATGCACGTCATCAATTACGTATTGCGATTTAAAGGTCTGATTGAACACTCTTTTTCTTATTTAGTTGCATTGAAGATAAACTATTACAAGCATAAAAATGTTTTTTTTTGTCATCCTTATTATGGTTAAATCACTTTGTTATTTTCTTAATTCTATAACATTGAATTCCTACGCCTATGAGTTTTTAACAATGACATATATAGTTTATATAGACTGCTTATCCATATATAAACAAGACAACGAAAAGCGGGTCATATTGCTTGTCTTGCCGAGTGCTCACCAGGCAGAATCGGTCTGGCCCAAATGAGTTTAAAACTCATATTTCATTAAAGTAGAAATTGAATTAAAAAAAATAATTACCTGAATATTTACTTCAAGACAGGAGCTTGGTTAGGTATTTTTAAAAAGAATATTTATTTATTAAAGTTCAAATTTAGTTCCATATTTTCAAAACATTTTAAGATATCTAACCAATTTTGAACATAGGCGTAAACAATTTTACACTCCTGTATAAACATCTTATAAAAACGATGTGCAATTAAAATACCTTATATTATCAAATTTAATAGTTAAAATTAAATTTGTTGGAATACCTATAATGTAAAATCACATTCTTGCAAATTCAAAATGGCCATGCCCAGTTGAATTTAATTATAATATTGGTGTTTTTTCTTTAAAATAACTTCATTCTCCTCATTTATAGGTAAATATTTACATGATTTGTAAAATTCTGCTTTCCTAAAATGTACGATTTTGAAGTGTATTTACGTATTTAATAATGTAACAAAAATGCATAATTCTTGATATTTTTATAAAAATAATGTACAAAATAACAAACCTATAAATGGACATTTGATTTCTAATAATTTTATGGGTACACCTTTATTGTTTATTATTTTTATATGTTTATTTTTGAAATAATCAACCCTGTCTCCTCTACAATAATAATCCCATTAGTTGCATTTATGTATGCATATCGAGCCTAACCTTCATGCTCAATTCTATGTAGAACAAATCTAAAAAAATATCAATTTAAGACAGTATATAATAATAAATATCTTTCAACCATTAACCATTTTTTTTAAATGTCTATGTACCTATTCAAATAAAGGACATAATATGAATAAAAGTTCACTTTGTTTACTTGTTTACAATCATTTTTGGAGTATCTTTAGTGTAAGTATAAAGATCATAACAACGAAAACCTGTTATTCTATATTTTCTTTTAAACTGCCATATCAACTTGTCTTCCCTTGTTAATTCTGCAAGCATACAGTTATTTTCTGGGATTAACATGTCATGGAACCCTCTAACAACATTCTTTTTTTATTTCTTTCTGATTTAAATTTAAAATGTCTGTTTTATACACATGATTAATAAACTCGCAATACTTATAGCTTGCAACTTACTTATGTTTTACTAATGCAGAATTAGGAGCTACAAAACAAAGTTCTTTAAGGATATAATCCTTTTTGTCCGACATATTTCATCTGTCGGCGTAAATAGAAAAGAATTTAAGGCGTGCTAGCTCTTTATAAAGCTAACGCAGTTCTTTCTGTTAAACGGCAATACTCAAGAAAAATTTAAGCCGAATGTGTACATCAAAATTATATAGGAAAATTTTGGGTATTACTAAAGTTTGCAAAAAATGGAAAACTCTTTTATTATGCACAAAATTGATTCAGAAAATTTCATCTATTTTTTTACATATTCTATTTAAGTATGTAAGTGTCGTATTTTAAATGATTTAAGTCCTCAAATCTTAAAAACATCCCAACTCATTTAATATTAAGAAATTAAAAAAAAAAACTTGAAAAAGGAAAATATTTAACATGTTAGTAGTTCGTGGTTTAAATAAACTTATGTAAAAATCTTCACGTTTTTCAATCGCCTCTACATCCACAACTGCAAAACCAATACAAACCACTCCAACCTTCAATTCGTTTCACTGAATGAGACTTATATCATAACTACAATGTGAAATGTGAGGAACAGTAGGAACATCCGAGCGGCTGCAATGAAAAAAGCTAGCAGGAAAAAGAGCTAGATACTATAATATCTGAAGGGATAAAGCTATGCAATAAACTACCTGACAGTATGAACTATCTTTGTTTGCTTTTAAAAGACGACTCAGAAAATTGATATTTGATATGGTTCCTTCGAAGAATGTAAATTTAAATCAGTGTTTGTCTCTCTGTATTGTTACTTATGCCCGTATTGTTCTATTTATATTAAATTTTTATATTACGATACTTCTAGGTAAGTAACTAACTAAACTTTTAAAATCTACTTGTCAGGCCCAGCTAGCTCTAACTTGGGCCTTTGAAAATAATATTTATATTTATAAAATTGTATTTACAATAAAGAATTTGTTATTAATATTATCATTATTATAATTCATAATAGTATTTACCTTGTACCTACTTGTATTGATACGTGAAAATTAAAATGTTACTTTTTATATTTCTGTAGCTGATCTTATAACGCTTTATAGAGCAATTTACCATTTAAATTCAAAAACAGAACAATTTTTTATATTCAATTAATTATAAAAACTTAAAACAGAACATAATTATAATTAAAATTTAATAAAATAAACAATTCAACAAATTGTTCGACTGAGCAATGACATCGACAACAAAATCTCAATTAAACTAAACTTTCTTCTAAACCGGTTCTGTAAAAGGTTTGTTTACCAGTGAGCACTTACAATTGAGACAAAACACAAACATTGCATGTACTAGACAAAGAGAAAACATCTCCCAGTTCGACCCACTTTTCATCGCTTTATTTACGTATGGATAAGCAGTCTATATAAACTATATATGTCATTGGTTTTTTATTGTATAGTGACAGCTAATGAACTGTCATTTTGAGTTCAATGTTGTCATATATTAAAGAGTTATTGCAAGTTCACTTAAGGTCAGTCACTATTAGTGCCGCTCTTATTTTGACATCTGAGCATGCGCAGATCACTAACTTTAATAAAGATTGTACCTATCCTTAATAAGAGAGTTAATAGTCGTTTTCTTTTTACAACTAATCTGAGCTAACTTACATCGACTAAGCTGATATGTACGTTCTTTTTATGATTGTAAGTCAGAATCTTTCTTCCCCCCTTACGATGCTAAGGTGCACGGTACTTGACGTCAACCATAAACCATCACAGAAAGTGAGTGTTCTGTGCATCATATGAACAAACATATCCCATGAATTCATTATTTTAGTGAGAATAAAAGACTATGATAACAGGGGGTGAGATTTGTAGTGTTGAATGTTGAAAAAATTATAAAATTTGAATAAAATATGGATTGTTTTTAAACGGATGACATGGACACGTCACCTGTCAACCAAAATTCGCGTTCTTTTTACAGTTAAGCTTAGATCAGAATCTAACTTTTAGTTAGTCAAGTATGCTTGTAAAAAGAAAACGACTATTATAAGTTCAGTTAAGGTCAGTCACTATTAGTGCCGCTCTTATTTTGATATCTAAGCATGCGCAGATGTGTATGTTCTAAAACTGACTTTATTAAGGATTGTGCCTGTCCTTAATTGTGGATGTTTAAGGGCAGCATGTAGTTGCGACTTTATAGCTTTCGGATGCGCTCGCCGATATTCGTATCCGTTAGAAGTTTTTTAATATTACATATTTAATATAATCGTCATTTAAACCTAAAATTATAATTAGTGGTTAGAAATAAGTATAAGGACGAGGATTCTAATGTCAAAATTTCAGGTTTGCGATAAGTCTGATTTTAGCATGGAATTTATTTAACTCTAATTACGATGTCACTATTAGTGGCTGGCTTTATAGAAATTTGCAATATCTCTCTATTAAGGACAGGCACAATCTTTATTAAAGTTAGTGATCTGCGCATGCTTAGATGTCAAAAAAATAAGAGCGGCACTAATAGTGACTGACCTTAAGTGAACTTGCAATAACTCTCTATTTATTGTGTCTTGTAATTGCAATTTGTTGATATTTTGAGTTATTTATTATTTTTGGTTAAGTCGTTATTATTTTTGGTCGTTTCGTTATTATTTTTGGTTATTTGGTCTTTATTTAAAAAACTGTTCTTTTAAGAACAACCTCGTAGGTTTAAAAATGCCAAAGAAATTAAATAGCCGATGTAAGGAGCTCATAGTTTCATTGATACAGTATTTTGAACAAGAAAGCGATAATAATGGTCCTTTACTACCTAACTGCTGTTAAAGAAGTAAGTTTTTACTGATATTGTCTAGAAATATCAAACTAATCTCATTAAACTTAACATAAATTTGTCCATTGTAAGTGCTATTTCTCAAGCAGATAAGAATGATGTCGTTTTAAAATCGCCTCCAAAAAGCGTCTTCATACAAAGAAAGTAACTAATACAAGAACTTTAAATACAAGTACAATTCGATATAATTTTTACAACATGTATGAAGCTAGTAAGTGTAGATTATTCATTTTATATCATCTAATTATAAATACCTATATATTTGTTTGCAGACGAACACGTAACTTTGGATTCTTTATTAGAAAAATTGAAAGAAAAAGAATTGTTTAATGGATGCCGCATGTCATTATGTACCTTATTAAAAAATATTGGTTTTAAATGGAAAAAACCTGATCCAAGGCGAGGGCTTATGGAACTTTCCGATGTTGCTGTGAAACGTTTGAAAATGAGGATGGTGGACATTTTAAAAATCTTTGGCTAATGACACCAGATATTTTTAACACACTACTTCTTCTCGTAATGCCAAAAATTGAAAAACAATACAAATTACAGGAGCGCTATACCCGCTAAAGAGAGACTTGCATTGACACTTCATTTTTTAACTGGAAGTTCGTACCTATTTAAGTTTAGCATTTACATTTAAAATCTCAAAACAGTCAAGTATTATTCCCGATATTTTTTCAT